ACTGCGCCTGGCCGCTTCCCTTGTCTCTGACTCACAGTCCTCCCAGGAGCCCACGGTCCACCTGGGCTGTGCACTACATGGAAGAGGAACTACCGGGCTGGGAGCAGGGGGCTGTAGCTGCGCCTGGATCAAAGCAGGGGCAGAATCGCCCTCGATAGCAGTGGTAGCAGCCCCAGACGGCACTGGGAGCCTCGTGCTGGAGTGTTTCTGTTTGTTGATAGCTCTGAGAAGGTGGTGGCAGCCTCCCACCATAGGAAGAGAAAACTGAGGCCGAGAGAGGTTAGGTAACTTGCCTGAGGTCACTGAGCCTCAAGAAAGAAGAGGGAAGGCCCAGGTAGCTCTCACACCCCCTGCAGGCCTCATGACGTACATGAGCTACCTGAGAAGTCCTTCCCATTTCCCCGCCTCAGTTCAGGGCGCATGGGCCCCTGGATCCGCCTCTAGTTTCTCTGGCCCTGGATCCCAGTGGCATCGAGGAAGTCCAGGCTGCTGTGAGTTCTGCAATTCTGGTCTTGCTGGAGGCAGCCAGGCCAGTCCTGATCCTTGGCCGGGTGTCTGAATCACTGTAAGTGTTGTTTGTGGCTGTTGGGGACACACCCTCTGGGGTGGGAAACTAGCCTCAGGTGGCAGCAGCGGAGGCCTCAGCACGTGCCTCTCTCGTCTCCAGGCTGCCGCCTGATGTCGGGCCTGGGCTGAGTCTGTCCTAGCCCGGAACACTTGGTCCAGGTGTTCATACCTGGCTGTCTCCTATAGACTGGGAGGCCTCAGATAAGAGCATCTGTCAGCGCTTGTCTTCCCCTAGAATGCGTAAGTGCAGGCAGCTTTACATGTGGTTAGTGGGTGGTGGGTGCCCAAGTGTGATGTTACTACTCACCCCGCTCTCTCTCATGCATGTAGCACATCAACGTACACTCCAAAGATGGCCTCCTGGTCATAATCTCCCTCTAATTGATTTTTAAAAAAAAAGTAAGTAATTTGCAACAGATTTTTTTTTAGACGGAGTCTCGCTCTTGCTGCCCAGGCTGGAGTGCAGTGGCGTGATCTTGGCTCACTGCAACCTCCGCCTCCCGGGTTCAACCATTCTCCTGCCTCAGCCTCCCTAGTAGCTGGGATTATAGGCATGTACCACGATGCCTGGCTAATTTTTGTACTTTTAGTAAAGACAGGGTTTCACCGTGTTGGCCAGGCTGGTCTCGAACTCCTGACCTCAGGTGATCCACCTGCCTCGGCTTCCCAAAGTGTTGGGGTTACAGGCATGAGCCATCGCGCCCCGCCGAAAGAGATCGAGTCTCAAGGGGGCATCATCTGAGCTCCAGGATCCAGGAGCTCGACAGGAGTTCGAGACCAGCCTGGCCAACATGGTGAAATCCTGTCTCTACTAAAAATACAAAAATTAGCTGGGCGTGGTAGTGGCTCCTGTAAACCTGATATGGGAGGCTGAGGCAGGGGAATCACCTGAACCAGGGAGGTGGAAGTTGCAGTGAGTCAAGATTGTGTCACTGCACTCCAGCCTGGGTGACAGAGCAAGACTTTTTCAAAAAAACAAAAACAAAAAAGTAAAAAAGACATTATCTTCTCCTCTTTCCCTTTCTCTCTGCTGCCTTCTGCCTTCCTGTAAGTTGGTTCTACTTTCTCACCCCCACAGTCCCAGGTTTTCATCTCGTGCTTAGCAGGGGAAGCCTCTGATGGTGGCCTTGTTGGCTAACTTAGGTCCTGAAATCCAGTCCCCGTAGCCAGGAGCGACTACCTTGGCTGGCCAGGCCTGGCTCAGGTGCCCACTCCCTGAGCCCCGGAGGTGGATTGAGTGCAGAGGGTTCTTCTCAGAGGGAGGCCGGATGGAGGCAGGGCAGCAGGACCCAAGGTCTCCATGGTACTCATGAGCGCTCCTGGGTGCGGGTGGGTGCCACTGGGGTGAGAGGTGGGCCTGTGGCGCCCCGTGTGGCCATCCAGTGCTCACCCAGAGCATGAACCCCACAGTCCTAACTTCCTGGGCAGAGGTGAGGGTTGGGGAAGCCCGGGCTCCTGCTGGGACTAGCTGCCTCGAAGTAGAGTCAGTCCCCAGACCTGCACTGGCCCAGGACCCTGGAGCTGCTCCCAGTCCACCCAGGGCTTGAGGCCCCTGTGTCCCCTGCTATGAAGGAGTCAAGAAAATAGGAAACCGTGCCATTGGCCCATGTCAGGCTGGCCTCAAGCACCTCAGCATGGAATCTAGGACCTTCAGAGTGGCAGCAGGTGCCAGAGAGGGAACTTCAGGGAGGCTGGGCCGGGAGACAGAGGCCAATGGCCCAGCTAGGGCCGTTTTTTCCCCTTTTCTTCCTCTTTCTTCCCTTTCTCCTTCTTCCTTTTCCTTTCTTCCTTTCTTCCTTTCCTTTCTTCCTTCTTCCCTTTCTTCCTTCTTTCTTCCTTTCTTCCTTTTCTTCCTTTCTTCCTTCTTTCTTTCTTTCTTTCTTTCTTTCTTTCTTTCTTTGAGATGATGTTTCACTCTTTGTTGCCCAGGCTGGAGTGCAGCATGATCTTGCTCACTGCAACCGCCTCCCAGGTCTAAACGATTTTCCTGTCTCAGCCTCCCGAGTAGCTGGGATTACAGACGCCCACCATCATGCCTGGCTAATTTTTGTATTTTTAGTAGAGATGGGGTTTCACTACACTAGCCAGGCTGGTCTCAACTCCCAACCTCAGGTGATCCACCCACCTCGCCTCCCAGAGGTTGGGATTAGCAGGCGTGAGCCACCACCTGGCCTCTTTTTTTTTTTTTGAGACTTTTTTCTGCCTTCCACTGCTGGGAGTAGGGTGGGACTTGGGCTCTGGCCCAGTTCCACTACCCCAGTGTCCGTTGTAGTGTATATACTACATCCCTTTGAGGGGCTGCCATTAGTAAGTGGCTGCTGGCCACTGACTCTGTGTGTGTGTGTGTGAGAGGCCCCTGAGGGAGGTGGCCATGTGGTCAGCACCAGTGCATGCAGAGAGGAGCACTAGCCCTGTGGGTGTGCAGACTGGCTGGCATGCAGGATACTTAGCCCTCTGTGGCATGAGGACCAGCACCTGAGCACATGCAGAGATGAGGACGACTCTACGGTTCAGCTGGGAAGACAAGCCAACCCACATCGCTGGAAAACCTGCCCACCCACCTCCCACCACTATTTCAGCACGAAGCCACCCCCACACTGCCAGCTGAATCATTCCACACTGCTAATAACCCACCCCACACTGCTGAAGCGAACTCCACCCCACTGCCAGCGCGGGCTACTCCCGTGACTGCCGGCGCGAACTCCACCCCCGCACTGCCAGCGAACTCCACCCCGCACTGCCAGCTGAACTCCACCCCGCACTGCCAGCTACATGCCATTGTTCTTTGACCTCTGTCTAGACACTCGGGGTGTGCTGTTCGCCATCCACCCCCACACTGCCAGCGTTGGACATGCCACTGCCTGACCTCCGCCTAGACACACTGGGTAGGGAAGTGCTGACAGGCAGCCTGTGCCCGTGTGTGTGCATGCGAATGCCCCTTGCAGTGTGATGTGGCTGGCATGTGGGTGTGTCCCTGGGCGCACATGTATGCATTCCGTGTCTGTGCACGGTCCAGTGGGCTTTTTCAGTATAAGAGAAGTGTGCGCAGGTGTCTCTGTTGATGCCTGTGCATGGGCGTGAGTGTGTATACTGTGCATAAGCGTGGTACCTGTGTCTAGGTGTGCAGGTGTCTGATGATATGTATGTCTGCGTAAGTGGTATATGTGTGTACCTGGGTATCCTGAGTATGTGTGTGCAGGTATCTAATGATATGTATGTTCATGCATGCATATATGTGTGTGTACCTGGGGTATCCTGAGTGTGTGTGCAGGTGTCTAATGATATGTATGTCTGCGTAAGTGTAGAAAGTGTGTACCTGGGTATCCTATGTGTGTGTGCAGGTGTCTGATGATAGGTATGTCTGCGTAAGTGCAGTATGTGTGTGTGTACCTGGGGATCCTTGGAGTGTGTGTGCAGGTGTCTAATGATATGTATGTTCCAAAGGCGTGTATATATGTGTGTGCCTGCATCCTGAGTGTGTGTGCAGGTGTCTGATGATAGGTATGTCTGCGTGCGTGTATATCAGGTGTCTAATGATATGTGGCTGTCTGTGTGCGTAGCATGTGTGTACCTTGGGATCCTGAGTATGTGTGTGCAGGTGTCTAATGATAGGTATGTCTGCGTGCATGTATATGTGTGTACCTGGGTATCCTGAGTGTGTGTGCAGGTGTCTGATGATAGGTATGTCTATATGGTATATGTGTGTACCTGGGGGATCCTGAGTGTGTGTGTGCAGGCTCATGATAGGTATGTTCATGCATATATATGTGTGTACCAGGTATCCTGAGTGTGTGTGCAGGTGTCTGATGGATAGGTATGTTCATGCAGCGTGTATATCATTGTGTGCTCCAATGATATGTGGCACCATGTTAAGCGTAAAGTATGTGTGTGTACCAGGGTGATCCCGATGTGTGTGCAGGTCTGATGATAGGTATGCTCATGCATGCAGATATGTGTGTGTACCTGTATCCTGAGTGTGTGCAGGTGTCTGATGATAGGTATGTTCATGGGCGTGTATATGTGTGTACCTGGGTATCCTGAGGTGCAGGTAGTTCAGATGATAGGTGGAAGGTCCATCTGCGTGCGTGTATATGTGTGTACCTGGGTATCCTGAGTGTGTGTGTGTCCATGTGTGCATCCCACGTGCCCCTGTGCCCACGCATGTGCATGTATACTTACATTCACGTGTGCTAGTGGAATGACATGCGTGTGGCTGGTTCCTCTGGCATGTGCCAAGCCATGGTGGGGCAGGCAGGTGAAGGTCCCTGTCTCAGGCAGCCCTTGGGAGTGGGTGTGAAGGGTCTCAGTGCTCAGGCGCCCCTGAGGCTTCCAGCTGAATCTTTCTGTCCCTCCCAGGCATGGCTGTGGGAATCCCTGGGGCGCCTTTGGGTTCCAGGAAGCTGGGGCTGTGTGGGCCGGGCTGCTAACTGGGGCTGTGGAGCAATCTGCCAGCCGAGCCCCTTCCGGAGCTGTGGGTTCCTCTGGGTGTGGGGAAGCTGCCCTCCACAACCTCCTCGGCCTATCTTGGTGCCTCCTGGAGTGCAGGACACACCTCCCAGCTCTGCAGCCTCACCCACAGGAAGCTCGGGTTGGGGGCAGGCGAAGAGGGAGGTGCCACGCTGGGCTCCCCGCCCTGCGCCGGCACTGACCCCGCTGTACCACGGCCCTCTTGCGGACAGCCCTGGGGACATCGCTGGGACATTGTTGGGAACCCGGGGTCTGCAGCCACAGCCATGTTTGGCCGGAAGCGCAGTGTCTCCTTTGGGGGCTTCGGATGGTGGGTGACAGGTGGGAGGGTGGTTGAACGATGGGAGAGAACTTAGAAGTGAAGTCTTGTTAAGTGCAGTGGCGGCCGTGGGCTGTGCCTGAGAGCTGGGTCTGCTGACGCCCTGGCAGGTCGAGATGCAAGATCCTGGTGGGGACATCAGAGACCGTAAGCCTTCCCCACTGTCCCTGGGCACAGTCTGCTGGCGAATCCTGGAGGTCTGCGCCAGCTGCCCATGGGGAGGTGGATGGCATGAGTGTGTGTGACTGCAGTTGAATGTGTGTGTGTGTGTGTGTGTGTCCGCAGGTTCCCGTGTGTGTGTGTGCATGTCTGGGATTATGTGTAAGTGTGTGTGTGTGCGTTTGAGCCTGTGTGTGCAGGCGTGTGTGTGTGGCTGTGACTGCCAGTCCGTGTGACGGTGTGTGAGGTGTGTGCCTGTCTGCACCTCTGGCCTTCTGTATCTGTGTGTCTGTGTGTGTGACGCTCCTGTCTGTGCTGTCGGTGTGGCCTTGTGGCGGGGGGATCTGTGACCTGCTGGACCTCTGGGCTGCCTGCTCTCTTGGGGGTGGGTTGTGAGAGGAGATCTCTCACCTGCACCCCGGGCAGCCCACTCTGTCTGTGTCCTAGCCTGAGCAGCTGTGTCTGTCCCCAGCCTTCTGCCTGGCCCTCTGGCCACTCTTGCCTCTAAGCTTCCGTCTGGGATGAGGGATGTGCTCTCTCCTCCCCCGGGGGCAGAAGGTAGGCACACGAAGGCCAAAGGCTTGTCTCTGGTTCCGAGTGTTGGCAGCTTCTCTGCAGCTGGGGAACAGAGTCTGGTGGTTTTCACGATCGGTTTCCTTTCAGTGCCTGGGCTGGGGGCGTTGTCAGACTGGGAGAGGCCCCTGAGGGAGGTAGCCAGGGGGTGTCCCCGTGTGGAAAATGGTGGACTAATGGGGGTGGCACGAAGGGCAAGGGGGAGAGGGGCTGTGTTCCTCGGTAATTCTTCGCTTCCGTGTGTGGCTTATTTCCCTCTTCCTCCTCTTCAAAAGCACTTTGCCATCCATCCTCTGGCAGGGAGGGACCGTGGGCGCTCCACGTTTGGCAGATGCGATGGTGCGGACGAGCAGATGGCATGGCACTGCCTGTGTCTGCTCTCGGGCCCTCCCTGACGCCTGGGTCAGGAGCTGCCGCCCTGAGGGTAGGTGCCAGCGTCTGGGAGGCAGCAGAGGACTTGGCTTATGGTTGGGAGGGGTGTGTGTGTCTTGGCTGTGAGCCTTGCAGGGCAGGGCCCAGCAATGAGATTGTGCCCTCCAAGGCCCGCCTTTCTCTGGGAGGTGTGGAGCAGATGGGAGGCTGGCCATCAGAAAGCTCCCTGTGCACAGGTCCCGGTCTCAGCCTAGCTTCATTCCATAGGAAGCCCTCTGTGTTGAGACCCACAGCTTCAGAGCACAAGGCAAAGCCAGGCCTGAGGCTTGAATCTGGGCAGGTGAGGGGGAAGACAGGAGCATGGCTGCCCAGGGCTGCCTTCGAGGCAGAGCCAAAGGTGGAGAAAGGGCCCTAGGATGTCCCAGAGGCCCCCGTGTGCTGACTCAGTGTCTGCTGGGCTGTGGGCTCCAGGAGGGCAGGCCCTGCCCCATTGCATTCACGCGGAAGCCTGGCACGTCACGCAGGCTCAGTGGATGCTTGTGGGCTCATGGAGGTCTTTCGCACACAGCAGGTGTCTGCTTGGGGCCCCTTGAGGTTGAGGGGATGGTGGGGCCTTCCGGGCTTGGAAGGTTAGGGCAGCAAGAAAGGGGGCGAGACTGGGGTTTGGGCCTCCTCATCTGGGATGGCTGTCAGCTGGGAGGGGATGTCACAGATTCCTGGAGCCCTGGTCCCTCCAGACAGTGAACAGAATCTCTGGGGCTGGTGTTTTCCAAGCTCCACTGGATGCAGAGTGGATAACCTCCGGCAGCAGGGGCAGACAAGGTGATGAGGGTGGGTGGGATGGGAGAGGGAGGAGCGCCCAGGAGCTTTGGCTTCCTGAAAGGGACACAGCCTCACAGTCGCTCTTCATCTCCAGTCTCAGCCTCTCCAAAACCACAGCCCCGCCCTGCTGAGAGCACACCCTGGTGTGGGAACCCCGGTGGGCTGGCCGCTGTGTGGGCGTGGTTCGGACCGGGGCTCCTGTGACCACGGTGCCTGTAGGCGTGCGGTGGGCAGGGCTGACCCCACAGCGGTCAGAGGTGCACGCACCAGGAGCCCCGGTTCCAGCACTGACTCCGCCTTGACCACTGAAGAACTTGAATGGGACACTTCCTCTCTCTGGGTCTCAGTTTCCCCATGTGTCAGTGGGGGATTTCTGCCTTACCCACAGCACAGGGCTGTTGTAAGAATTAAGAGATTCCAGCCCGGTGCGGTGGCTCAAGCCTGTAATCCCAGCACTCTGGGAGGCTGAGACGGGTGGATCACGAGGTTAGGAGATCAAGACCATCCTGGCTAATCCAGTGAAACCCTGTCTCTACTAAAAAAAAAAGAAAAAAAAGGGCCGGGCGCGGTGGCTCAAGCCTGTAATCCCAGCACTTTGGGAGGCCGAGACGGGCGGATCACGAGGTCAGGAGATCGAGACCATCCTGGCGAACACGGTGAAACCCCGTCTCTACTAAAAATACAAAAAATTAGCCGGGCGAGGTGGCGGGTGCCTGTAGTCCCAGCTACTCGGGAGGCTGAGGCAGGAGAATGGCGTAAACCCGGGAGGCGGAGCTTGCAGTGAGCTGAGATCCGGCCACTGCACTCCAGCCTGGGAGACAGAGCGAGACTCCGTCTCAAAAAAATAAATAAATAAATAAATAAATAAATAAATAAAAAAAAGACTTAAGAGATTCCTTGAGAAAATGTACAGCCTGAGTCCCTCCTGTGAGGGGCCATCGGGAGACTCTGGGTTGCACGCGTTACAGCAGAGTGCGGGGCTCTGAGTCCCCCTCAGATCCGGGGGCCTGTGCGTCGAATGGGGGAAGAGGAGGGTCTGCATCCCCGAGCGGGTGAGGATTCCAGGGTGAGACCCTCAGGGACCAGTAGTGGAAGCCGTAAGGAAGGGACTCAGGAGGACGTGTGGGGAAGAAACGGGGAGAGACGTGGCCCAGGCCCCTCAGGGTGCTGCTTGCTTTGCCGTTGGAGCTGAGGTCCGAAGGCGCTGGGAGTTTACTCAGAGTGAAAGGAACCCGCCCCCGGCTCCAGGCCTCAGGGTGACTTGTGAGCTGGCCCAGCTCCGTGTCCTCTCCTCTTCCCTGGTGCTGTGCGTGTGGGAAGCCTGAGGCAGAGCTGAGCGGGCCACACAAGGATGCTGGGAAGAGCCTCCAGGGTTTCCAGCATCCTGGAGCCAGTGGCAATGTTAGTGAAGCTGATAGTGATGGCAACACTGATGATAGCGTTGGTGACATGTGGCGACATGGACAGTGATGGCGACACGAATCGTGATGTGACAGGCAGCATTGGTGCTGGTGGCGGTGCTGGTGGCAGCGGAGGTCATGACCCTCCCACAGGAGGAGATGCTGACAGTGGGAACACTGCCCACCTTTCTGCCTCTGGAGAGGGAGGAGGGGCCTCTCCTTGCCAGCCATAAGGGCTGGCATATGCAGGGGGTAAAAATAGAAACTCAGTGGCGCTGCCTCCCCTTCCAGCGAGGGCGGGCGCAGGCTGGGGGCGGAGGAGCTGGCTGTGAGGGCGGTCTGTAGCAAACGTGATCTTCCCCGCTCTGAACCCCTGTGCCCGATGCAACCCACCAGGGTCTGCCCCAGGCGCGAGTTCTGCCTCCCTGGATGGACTGGTAGCTCCTGGGGCAGGAGGATCCCTGGTGCTGGGCGTGCTTGCATCTTCCCAAAGCAGACGCCTGGGAAATATGGATGTCCACCCGACGTCCCTGTTGACATCCGTGCTGACCCACGAAGCGGGGTTGCCAGGTCCTCTTGTGAGGGAGGGGCTGCACACAAAGTGCTTGCGATCCCTGGGCCTGATGTGAGATACCTGAATTCAGACTGGGCCAGTGATTTTACCTTTCTGAGCCTCGGTTTCCTCATCTCTGAACTGGGGAGGATAATAATCTGTTATAGGGTGGTGTATGGCCCCAGCCCTCCCAGCACTCCTCTGCTAGCGGAGAACTGGCCCCTTTAGCCAGTGCCCGACAGAGCCCTGCTGTCTGGTGGTTGGGGCTGCCCCGGGGACTCCTCCCGAGCAGATGCTGTGTGGGAGTCATCAGCCTCAGCACTGACTGGAGCCCTTGCTTTTCTCTTGGCAGGATCGACAAGACCATGCTGGCAAGTCTGAAGGTCAAGTAAGTAGCAATTTCCTGTTCTGTAAAGGTCAGAGATGACGCGGATCGGAGCGCCGCTGGGCCCTCGTTCCCCCAGGTTGTGGGAGACACAAGAGGGGCTGTCGTGTTTGTCCGAGTCCAGTCCGAGTCCGTGGTGCCTCCGGATCGGAGGAGGCTGGACAAACTCTTATTCTGGGGGTGTTCAGGGAGAGGTCGAGGTGGGAATGGAATCACCAGGGGCCAGAATGGTGGGAGTGTGTGTAGCAGGTGTAGCATTCGGGCCCATTATCTTTCTTTTTTTCTTTTCCTTTTTTTTTTTTGTTTTTTGACGTCGTCTCAGCTCTGTCCAGGCTGGAGTGCAGTGGCACAATCTCTGCTCACTGCAACCTCCGCCTCCCGGGTTCAAGTGATTCTCCTGCCTCAGTCTCCCAAGTAGCTGGGATTACAGGCGTGTGCCACCACACCCGGCTATTTTTTGTATTTTTAGTAGAGACGGAGTTTCACCATGTTGGCCAGGCTGGTCTCGATCTCTTGACCTCGTGGTCCGCCCACCTAGGCCTCCCAAAGTGCTGGGATTATAGGCGTGAGCCACTGTGCCCACCCAGGCCTATTATCTTCCTATCACTTTAATTTTTAGAAAGATAATTTTATTGGGCTGGGCGTGTAATCCCAGCACTTTGGGAGGCTGAGGTGGGTGGATCACCAGAGGTCAGGAGTTCCAGACCAGCCTGGCCAACATGGTGAAACCCCATCTCTACTAAAAATACAAAAATTAGCAGGGCATGGTGGCACACGCCTGTAATCCCAGCTACTTGGGAGGCTGAGGCAGGAGAATCACTTGAACCCAGGAGGCGGAGGTTGCAGTGAGCTGAGATCGCGCCACTGCACTTCAACCTGGGTGACAGAGTAAGACTCTGTCTCAAAAAAAAAAAAAGAAAGAAAGATAATTATATTTTTTATCACTTTAATTTTTATGTGAAGTCCCAATCCTGTCAGTGACTTTCTGACATTCCCCACTTACTAGGACCTGACTAAACACCCCAGGGTGTGTGTGTGTGTGTGTGTGTGTGTGTGTGTGTGTGGTGTCAGCTGCTCATCAAGTCATTTGTTGCCAGGTATGTCAGCCTGGGCAGCCTGGCCCTGGGGCTTTCTGAGGCTTCCAGGCCAGATTTAGAGTCTGGGAATTGCCTGCCTCGATTTGCTGTGTATCTCTTGGTTCGTCTGCTGAGATCCTAAGCAGGCACAGCCCTCTCCCAGAACCTCTGACCTCTCCTCCCTCACCACCTTCATTCCTTTTTCCTCTGTGTTTCTGGCCAGACCATTTTGTCTGCATCCTGATCCCCTTTTTCCTTTGAGACTTAACCGAAGCGTAGCCTGCTTCCAGCGGCACCCCTCCCGTGGGGCAGTGAGTCCTGACTCACCAACTGCTCCAGCGGAGTGAATTGAAAAGGAGGGAAATTCTAGGAGGGAAAAAGCATTGGCCTCTAGCTCAAAATATTCTCCCGGCACATGGGAATTCACTGTTGCATGGAAAATTCCTCCAATGAGTCGCCCTCCTTCCGGGGCAGCTCCTCTGGGTTGTCACTCCCCCGTCTCGGCAGAAGGTTTTTCCTGCCTGGTCTCCCTCTGTCATGCCATTCAGTTGCCGGCACTGGTTGTCCATCCCCTGGATGCAGGTCCCTGGGCAAAGTATGGGCAGTCTTGAGGGTTGGCATAGAAGAGGGTCAAAATAAGAGGCTTCCCACTGTTTGGTTTTGCTCAGAAAGATGAGGCTGGGCAGTGAGCAGGGCCGGGATGGAGGACAGACTGTTCCTGCCCTTCAAGGGCTTTCGCTTTCTCTGTTGAGCTGATGCCAGGAAGGTCAGACACGGTAGTTCACGCCTGTAATCTCAGCACTTTGAGAGGCTGAAGCGGGTGGATCGCCTGGGGTCAGGAGTTCGGGACCAGCCTGGCCAACATGGTGAAACCCTCTCTCTACTAAAAATAGAAAAAATTAGCTGGGTGTGGTGGCGGGCGCCTGTAATCCCAGCTACTTGGGAGACTGAGGCAGGAGAATCGCTTGAACGCAGGAGGTGGAGGTTGTAGTGAGCCGAGATCATGCCACAGCCTGGGAGACAAGCGTGGAACGCCATCTCAAAAAAAAAAAAAAAAAGGTCTAGAGCAGATGCCAGGAGTGTCATGGAGTAGTCCCGAAAGACTGCCTGGAGGAGGTGGCCTCTAAAGTAGCTCTTAGAGATGAGGCAGTATAGTGGGATCCCCATGCCTGTGCTGGCTTGGCATGGTGTGTGCATCAGTGCAGACACCATTCAATCTGGAGCTGTCAGGGTGAGTCACCCAGGGCAAGATGCTTCCCTTCTCTGGACTTTGGTTTCCATATCTTTTGTCCAGTGGGCACAGTAATGTCTGGTTTCCCTAGAGCTTTCTAGAGCACATTTGTATACTAAGTGAGATGCAGAGCTACTAAGGGGTGTAGAATGGTAAGAGTGTTCTTTTGGTGCTGTTTTGGGACATGTAGTTCAATTTCACAATCATTTATCGAGGGAGGGCCTGTTTGTAAATATAATATTTGTAACCTGGAAGTGCACCAGTCACAGGGTAGAGTGAAAAGCTGGGGGCGTGGGTCAGGGTTGAGATTGGGACTCCAGTGGGGTCTTTGAGTGATTATCTGGGAAGGTGATATTGGGATGATGGCTTGGGACAGTGTGTAGCACTGTGTTCCGAGTTTTATTGGTTAAGATTCCTTTGATTGCAAGAAACAAAAACCCAGTGTCATCTGGTTAAGCAAAAGATGGAATTTATGGGAAAGAAACCAGGGTGCCCCAGGGAACTGAAGGGGAGGAAGCAAAGCCAGAGCTCCGGAGTGGTTGAACCAGGAACTGGAAACCCATTGCCATGAAAATCCCAGCGAGCTTCTTTGCAGACACTGATAAGCTGATCCTGAGATTCACATAGAAATTCAACGATAATCTTGAAAAAGAAGAAGAAAGTTGGTGGACTCATTCTTCCTGATTTCAAAACATATTGCGGCTGGGCGCGGTGCCCCACACCTGTAGTCCCAGCACTTTTGGAGGCCAAGGCGGGCGGATCATTTGAGGTCAGGAGTTTCCAACCAGCCTGACCAACCTGGTGAAATCCCGTCTTACTGAAAACGCAAAAATTAGCCAGGCATGGTGGTGTGCGCCTGTAGTCCCAGCTACTTGGGAGGCTGAGGCAGGAGAATCACCTGAACCCAGGAGGTGGACGTTGCTGTGAGCTGAGATCACACTATTACACTGCAGCCTGGGTGACAGAGTGAGACTCTGTCTCAAAATAAAACAAAACAAAACAAAAAACAAAAGTATTGCAAAGCTATGGTTATGCTGGGTGCGGTGGCTCACGCCTGTAATCCCAGCACTTTGGGAGGCCGAGGCAGGCAGATCACAAGGTCAGGAGATTGAGACCACGGTGAAACCCCGTCTCTACTAAAAATACAAAAAAAAAAAAAAAACTAGCTGGGTGAGGTGGCGGGCGCCTGTAGTCCCAGCTACTCGGGAGGCTGAGGCAGGAGAATGGCGTGAACCGGGAGGCGGAGCTTGCAGTGAGCCAAGATCGTGCCACTGCACTCCAGCCTGGGCGACAGAGCGAGACTCCGTCTCAAAAAAAAAAAATAAATAAAAAGCTACGGTTATTAAGGCAGTGTGGTACGGACATAAAGATGGACAGACAGATGGATCCAGTAGAATTCAGAGTTCAGAAATAAGCCCTTGCATTTATGGCCAATTGATGAGGCAGCCAAATGCCCACCGTTGGGGCTCCTGAGTCACCAAGATGCCTCCTCTGTCTGCCTCTGCTGGGTGAGGCATCTCTCCTTCTACAGCAGCTCACTGCATTCCCCGCCACGTAGCAGATACTTCCTGGGCTGCAGCCCATGCTTCCTGGTTGCCTTGGCTCCCTCCCCAAGGATCTCGTGTCCTTGATGCCTCCCCAGGCGTCCCTGAGGCATGCAGCTCTGACGACGGGGGTCTGGCCTCACCATTATGAAGCATTGACTGTGTGCGAAGGCTTCATTGCACTGTTTTCCTGAGGTTTTGCACCCACCTCATGAAGCAGGTACCATTCCTATCTGCATTTTACAGAGGAGAAAGTGGAGACCCAGAGAGTTTAGGAAACTCGTTCCAGGTCTTCAGGGAGGAAGTCACGGAGTTGGGGTTTGAATCTGGGTCTGTGCTTTGTGGGCGGAGCTGAGTGGTTCTCACACCTGCCTCCCGCCCTACTTTCCCATTTTCTTTCCCTGATGTTCTCGAGAGCTGTGTATATAGAATCCGCGGCCGCACAATGCACCTCCGCCTCCACAACACCGTGGGTGAGAAGGCCCCTGATTTGCTGGGGCCCATCCCCTTGCTGGAGGCCTGGATTGAATGGGGTCTGTGGTGCCTGGGTGAGTTGGACACTCAGAAGCAAGGATTTACTTAACTGCAGTGCAGGGGTACAGGGGCTATGGAGCCACGCCGGAACACTGGAGGGGAGGTGGCAACAGTACCGTGCAGGAGAAGGAGGCTTGCGTGTGGGATATCGCCCCCGGCTAACACATGGGCAAATTGTTAGCCTCTCTGGGTCAGTGTCCCTGTCTGTAAAGTGGGAGGGGTGGATTAGCGTCCAGCCTGCTCTCTTCCAGCCTTGACATTCTAGGAGTTTGCATTCATGCCTTGGGTCCTTTTGCATTTTTCTCAGGACCTTGGTGATGGTGGGGGCTCGCTGCTGAGTGAGTGAACGCATGGCTGTGTGAATGGAAGTCTGAGAGCAGGGGCTCTGCGCATTTCATCTCTGACTCCTTAGGGCCTACACGGTGCCTGGCACAAAGCAGGTTTTCAGTCTGTATTTGCTGAATGAATCCACGATGGGTCATCGTGGTTGGCCCATCACATGCAGATGGAAGGATGGAGAGAAAGACACAGGCTGAGCGTGGGGGGATCCCTCTTCTCCAGTCTGCTCTGGGGGCCCGCGGGGCGTGAGGTCCCTGTTGGCCAGGTGCCTGGGGTTTT